AGAACAAAGTGTTAAGATGACTACTACGTATCTCACAGGAAAAGAAGAAATATGGTTTGATGGCTATATTATGCAGAAGCATCATGTAACTTGGCATGAGTTTGAACCTGATCTTTGTCATAGATTTAGTGATAGATATTTTTCTGACATTGTGGAGGAATTCACTAAGTTAACTCAAAAGGGATCTGTTGAGGATTATCAGGAGAAGTTTGAGGAGTTACAACCTCATATGCTTTTGCAGAATCCTACTTTGACTGAGGAATTTTTTGTTTCTTTTTATTAGTGGACTCAGAGATGATATTAAGCATAGGGTCAAGGCTTTAGATCCTAAGAATTTGTCTGAAGCAAGTAAGCAAGCTAAGCTCTATGAACTATCTGTGGAGTTTGAGAATAGAAGATTGAGGCCTTCTTTTAAAAACCCAACCTACCCAAACCCCACTACTGTTGCTAAACCATCTTTACTGCCAGCAAATACAAATTTTGTAGTGATACAAAATCCTAAACAGACTCTTATTGACTATAGAAGGCAGAATAATCTCTGTTTTAAATGTGGTGAAAAATACATTCCAGGTCATCAATGTAAAAACAGACAACTGAATATGATTACTGAGGAAAGTGATGCTCCTACAGTGGAATTTTTTCCTACATATTCAGAACAGTCTCAACAACCAGAAGAAGAAACCTTGGAAATCTCTATGAATGCTATTACGGGTTCTATTGGTCATACTACATTGAGAATCCAAGGCACTATTCAAGGAAAACCATTGAATATCTTAATTGATAGTGGCAGTACACACAGTTTTTTGACCTCTAAATGGGCTGATACTGGCATTCAAATTATTACCCCCTATCCTTTGGCCATTACTGTGGCTAATGTCCAATACTATTCAGTACTGCTAGATGCAATAAAGTACAGTGGCAAATGCAGGGACATACTTTTTTCCATGATTTTCGATTGCTTAAATTGGGTGGAAGTGATATGGTTTTAGGGGTGGATTGGATGAAGTTATTCAGTCTAATTTTAATGGACTTCAATAATATGACTTTAAGTTTTGATCATGAAGGAAATCAGATTTGTATTCAAGGACAACAGCCCTCAACTGAGCTGCAGTAGATTTCAGGGGATACTTTACTTAAAATGAGTGCAGGAGATTCTGATATTTTGGGTTATATTGTCCTATTGACTATAGCAGGACATCCTACTTCTATTCCTATAGAAGTACAACATGTACTGGACCAATACAATACAGTTTTTGCTGAACCTGAAGGTTTACCTCCACAGAGGTCTCATGACCATACAATTCCACTTAAACCCAATGCCACACCAGTAAATTTAAGGCCCTACAGATTTCCTCATAATCAAAAAGTTGAGGTAGAAAAACATATAACTTCTCTGCTTTCTTCTTCTGTTATTCAACCTAGTAGGAGCCCCTTTGCCTCTCTCTGCCTTCTTATTAAAAAGAAGGATGACACATGGAGATTTTGTGTAGATTACAGGCAATTAAACAATCTGACTATCAAAGATAAGTTTCCTATTCCTATTGTAGAAGATTTATTAGATGAGCTACATGGGGCTGTTTACTTTTCAAAAATTGATTTGAGGTCAGGTTATTGGCATATCAGAATTAAACCAGAAGACATCTACAAGACTGCTTTTCGAACACATTAAGGGCACTATGAATTTAAGGTAATGCCTTTTGGCCTTACTAATGCTCCTGCTATATTTCAGGCTCTTATGAATGAATTATTCAATTCTTTCCTTAGAAAGTTTGTTTTAGTTTTCTTTGATGATATATTGGTCTACAGTAGTAGTATGGAAGACCATGTTAAACATTTACAGTTAGTTTTGGAAGTTTTGCAAAGGAACTAATTATTTACAAAACTCTCCAAGTGTTTTTTTGGTCAAACTAAGGTGGAGTACCTAGGCCATATTATATCTGCTGCAGGGGTTTCTGCAGACCCTAGTAAGGTGGAAGCTATGTATACTTGGCCCAAGCCTAAATCTCTTAAATCTCTTAGAGGATTTCTTGGGTTGATTGGATATTACAGAAGGTTTATAAGAAATTATGGCATTATTAGCAGACCATTGACACATATGTTAAATAATGATGGTTTTCAATGGACTTTTGATGCTTATACTACTTTTAAAGCTCTTAAAACAGCTATGTGTTCTGCTCCAGTATTAGCTTTACCAGATTTTTCTAAGCTCTTTTATTTAGAAACATATGCTAGTTCTGGGGGTGTGGGGGTTGTTCTTTCACAAGATGGCATGTCTATTGCTTATTTGAGTAAAGCTTTGAGTCCTAGACATTCAACATTATCTATTTATGAAAGAGAATATCTTGCTATTCTCTTAGCTGTTTCTAAATGGAGACACTACTTGGAGAGTAAACCATTTGTGATTAAAACTGATCATGAGCCCTTAAAGTTTCTTCTGGAACAGAAACTAACTACTACTATTCAGAAGAAATGGCTGACAAAACTATTGGGATTAGACTATACTATACAGTATAGGAAAGGAAAGTCAAATGTGGTTGCTGATGCTTTATCTAGAAGATGGGAGGATCAAGCTCAATATTTGGTTATGGGGTGACAGCTTTGGTGCCTACTTGGGTTCAAGAAATTGAATAAAGCTATCAAGGTGATTCTTTAGCTCAGAATTGGATTTCTATTCTGACTATTAATCCTTCTGCTGACAGTAAATGGAAATATTCTAAGGCTGTTCTTAGATATGATGGGAGAGTTTATATTGGGGCTACTGGAAGCCTTAGGGTGAAGATTATTCAAACACTACATGATTCTGCTCAGGGGGGACATTTTGGGACACAAGCTACATATTACAGAATCAGGTCAAACTTTTATTGGCCAAACCTAAAATCTATGGTTGCTACTTATGTAAGATGTTGTGAAATTTGCCAGCAAACTAAGGTTGAACATGTAGCAAAACCTGGTTTGCTACAGCCCCTACTTGTTCCTAATCAAGCTTGGCAGATTATAACTATGGATTTCATTGAAGAATTGCCTACTTCCTTTAAGAAAAACTGTATTTTGGTCATTGTGGATAAGTTTACAAAATACAGTCATTTTCTGCCCCTATTACATCCTTATTCTGCAATAGAGGTAGCTAAGCTCTACTTAGACAATGTCTATAAATTACATGGTCAACCTCAAATGGCTATCTCTAATAGAGATAAGACCTTTACTAGTTTGTTTTGGAAGGAATTGATGAAGCAATTGGGTACTAAGACCTTTTTCAACACTGCTTATCATCCTGAGATGGATGAACAAACAGAGAGGGTAAATCAATGCTTGGAGCAGTATTTAAGGGGTATTTGTTTATATCAACCTAGACAGTGGGCTAAATGGTTACCCCAGGCAGAGTGGTGATACAACACCACTTACCATACTGCTTTAAAACTGACTCCATTTCAGGCTTTATATGGGTACAAACCACCTATTATGGTTTGGCCTACAGATACTACTCTACAATCAGTCAGTGAAATCATGCATAGCAGAGAACATATGAGGCAATTAGTTAAACATCAGTTGGAATTAGCTAGCAACAGAATGAAGCAGCAAGCAGATAAAAGCATATCGGAAAGAGTTTTTACTATTGGAGATTTGGTTTACCTCAAATTGTAGCCATATAGGCAGTCTTCAATTGCCCTACGAAAAAATTTGAAATTGGCGGCTAAATACTTTGGCCCCTATAAGGTACTGGAAAAGATAGGGGAAGTCGCTTATAGATTAGACTTACCAGCCTCATCGAGACTCCACCCAGTATTTCATGTCAGTCTCTTGAAGAAATTCATCGGAGACTCCTCACGTGCTGCAACAGATCCTCCTGCAATAGAAGATGATGGTCAGTTCCGAATCAAACCCTTAAAAGTTATTGGGAGACGAATCATAAACACAAATGGAAAACCAATCACTCAGCTTTTGGTTCGATGGCAAAATCTGGATGAAGCAAATGATACTTGGGAAGATTATTCGGTGTTACGAGGTCAGTTTCCTACATTTGATCCTTGGGGACAAGGCTCATCTCGTGGGGTGGGTATTGTTGTAGTTGGAGAAGAAATAGAAGATCAAGGAAAGGAGAATGATTCGAATGGACAGGATGGAGGAGGAACGAGGAGGAACGAGGGTTAGGGATTATGGAATGTGATTTAGGAATTGGAATGAAAGATGGAGTTGAAGCACGAGGAGAAATGGGATTGAGGTTACCTGGGGCGTGGAAACAGGCCGAAGATGACCAAAGCAAAGTAAAGAAGCCCAATCCGAGTGGCCTAGTACCTGCAACAGCAAACAAATGATATAGATCAGCCTGTTATGCAGTTTGTTAGCATAGAATGCCAGCTGACATTCTTAGATTCTCTGTACCAGCTGTAACTAAATAAAACTGCTGTGTAATCAACAATTTTCCTTAGGCAATGAATAAATGGCTGATTTCTTCTCTCAATTCTCTAATTCTTTTCTTAAACCTCATTCTATTTCTTCTATTCCATAACAAAATTTTCCTATCATTTTTCCTCCATACCCAAAACTTTTCAATTGGCCAATTCATCATCTCATGGTCGGTTGTTCAATTGAGCTTCATCATTTCCAACAAAATTGTTTCTAACATTAGTATATATATATTAATTTCTTATTACCATTTACATTTATTATTCCAACATTTCATACTCTAAATTTAATTTATTTTAATCCCAATTTTTTTTCTCATCAACAAGTTGATCCAAAATTCAAAATTATCTTAATTATTAGTTACTCATCAAAACTGAACCCAAAACGTTCATTTAATATCATTTTACGATTTAATTGGAAACTACTATTTTATCCCACAAACTTTAAAACTTTACGATTTAATTGGGAACTACTAAACTCATTTTAGTCCTTGTTTTAATTGGACACGTGGCAGTTATTAATTGGAAAATACCTTGTAATTTCCCTTATAAAATACATTCCCATTTCCCAAATCACAGTTCACAAGGCAACAACTTTCTCTCCATAACTGAAAACCCGACTCTTTCCCCGCCATATTCAACAGAAGAGCGAATCGAGTTGATTCAATGGAGTCGAACATTGCAGCTGAACGAGTTGAATCAGAGAGCCCTAAGGCAAAAGAAGAAGCCAGGACCGAGAAGACCATCATATCCGGCCAAGACTTCAACTTCGAGAACGGCAACAACCCAGTAGTTGCTTCCATCATTTCTCCGGCGGAAACTGTCGAATCAGCCCAGGAGATCAAGAACATGAAGAACGATAAGAAGAAGAAACAGAAGAATGAGGTGCAAGTCTCCAACACCAAGAAGCCCTTCATCTTCTATCTGAATCGTGCCAAGGTAATAATAAAAAAAGAAATATTCCTTCTTTATGGGGTTTGATCCGATCTGATCCCATGATTGCTTTGTTGCAGAGGTACATCCATGAGTTCAACGAGGTTGAACTTTGCGGCTTAGGAATGGGTACATTTTCTTTGATTCTTTACTTCAATCTATCATCAATCCTGTTATGTATGTATGTATGTATGTCATTGGAATCTTTGCTGATCCTTCTTGTTATTGTACCCAGCTATTCCTACTGTTGTCACCATAGCTGAGATTCTGAAGCGAAATGGATTCGCAATCCAGAAAGGTAAAGAGAACAGTGTTGGTTTAAAATACCTTGCTCTCTACAGGTCCCTGATTCTGGTTGTTTCGAAATGCAACAGGATTAGCGACATCGACCGTGCTCAGCACCCATGAGGATCGAAAGGGTCGTCAAATCGAGAAAGCTAAGGTTCATTACCGACTGATTCTGCATAATATAGCATCCTATTTTGCATGTCTTTCTTGTTTATGAATGGCATATATGCCTAACTCTCTGTATCTGTTTATCTGAAGATTGAGATAGTGCTGGAAAAAGCTGGGAAATTTGAGGCCATCAATGGAGTTGTAACCCCCAATGAAAGCTGATGATCACAAAGCACAAGAAATTAAACCAACAGCATTGGTAACTCACTTGTAAATAGCATTATGGATGATATTTCCATGTATTACCTTTCTGTCTCTGTATTTTTCCTTTTATCATACTCTGTTGTCTTCCAGTATCAATCTAATGTACAGTTTACGCTAAAGTTTGAAAAAATAATTGTATTTTGTGAATATCATTGAGCCAAATTCATACAGAAGCAGGAAATTGATAAAATTGTAAATATAATCAACTAGGGCGGGAAAAGAAACAGTGTTTTTTCAGATAACATTTGGAAGGGACTCGAGAGCTGCACGACATTGCTCATCCTTGATGGCAAGGGTAGCAGCATTGAAGTGACTCCGTCATCTGCCGAGAAGTTCCTTTTGCGCATTTGCTCCAAACGATTCATCGCTTTTTCAACCTCCTTTTCCCGTAAAAGTCCATTGATAACGACATTATATGAGATGGAATCGGGTAAGCAGTCCTTTTCTTCCATTTCCGTGAGCAATTTATCAGCCACCAGTGGCATACGGTTCTTGCACAGGCCGCTGAGCATTATGTTATATGTTACAACATCAGGAGACAACCCTTTCTCGGAGATTCGATTAAACATTATCCGAGCTTCTTCCAATCTTCCAGCTTTCCACATTCCATCAATAAGTATGCTAAAAGGTTTGATACTGGGCTTGTGATCAGTACTTTCAAGGGAACGGAAAAGATCAAGAGCCTCGTCGATATGGCCATGCTTGCATAGCCCATCCAACATGACAATATAGTAGATAATGGAATTTACCATAAACATGCATCTCGTCGAACATCTTCTGTGCAGAGCTCACTTGCTCTGCTTGAAAAAGCATTCCCATGAGTGTGTTGTAAGTAGCTGCAGTGGGCTTAATTCCGTCGTATTGCATTTTCTGAAAGAGTTGAAAAGCTTCATCAATCTTCCAACTCTTGCAATAGCCACTAATCATTATATTGTAGCTAAAAGCATCAAGCTCAAGACCTTTATCAACTATTGAACCAAAGAGATTGGCTGCCTCGCCTAACTGACCGTTTAAACACAATCCATTCAAGAGTGAATTATAAGTTCGTATTTCTGCCTTTGCCCCCTTTCGAATCATCAGATCGAATATACTTTGAGCTTCCCCAGTCTTTCCCTCTTTGCATAGAGAATCTATCAAAGTTGTGAAGGTTACTACATCAGGAGAAATCCCCTTTCCAACCATCAGATTGAAAATCTTCATAGCTTCTTCCCACATCCCTACTTGGCAGAAACCATGAACCAAAGTGTTATATATGACCAAATCCGGAGTCAGTCCTTGACTAACCATTTCGTCGAAGACATTAACAGCTTCTTTCAACCTACTCAAACGACTAAATCCATTGATCAAAGAACCATAAACAACAGTATCCGGAATAATTCCTTTCAAAATCATTTCCGAAAACAAACTCGCTGCCTCGTCGACCATCCCATCTTTACAAAAAGCATCAATAACGATACTATATGTCATCAGAGTCCCTTGGAAATTACTCTTTTCCATCTTCCTATGCAACTCAAGAGCCATAACCGGACGTTCAATGGAACAAAGCCCATTAATCAGAATCCCATATACAACACCATCCCCTTGAAACCCTCTTTCAGACATTTTATCAAAAACCTTAACTGCATCCAAAACCTTACCATCCCCACACATACCCTTCAACAAAATACTAACGGTAACCAAATCAGGCTCGAACCCCCTCTTCATAACATGACCAAAAACACAAAACCCAGAGCTCATCTGTCCTAACTGACAGCAACAATTCAACAAAATGCTTAAAGTATACAAATTCGGCTTAATTCCTTCAACATTCAACTTCCTATACATCGAAAACACATTCGGATTGCGTTTAAGCTTTGAGACAAAACCCAATACGATATTAAACGTCTGAATCAAAGGGGAAGGTTGGGTTGCTATTAGCTTGTCGAAATAAGTGAGTGCATCGCTGAGGGTTAGTTTACCTGATTTACATTGATGCCTGACGAAGTACTCGAAGTCTTTGGGACCCGAAAGGTGGGGGTTTTGGAATCTGGGTTTGTTGGGTATTGATGAAGAGATTAGAAGAGGGTCTTTGGCGAACAGAGAGGAGAGTGAGCTGAGGGCTCTGATTGTTCCTTGAACTGCATGGTTCGAATGAGTTTTGTTCTTCAGCAACATGAGAGAAAGTGTTGTACTTTGTGTAACAAATCCCGGGAAAGGAAGGTGATTTAGTTGACAATTGGAATAAACAAGACGAACTTCCTTGAAGAAATTTTATTCGAAAAGTTTCCTTCCAACTTGGATTTTCTGAGGCTCCGAGTTGGGGCATTTATGGGTCGGTCGCCGTCTTCAAAATGTTCAAAATTACTTGCCCAGCTTACATTTTCATTCTTTTGGATTTAGTATCCACCGTTAGTAAGATTATATATTTATTTTAACTAAATAAAAATAATTTATTAATTAAATATTAGATAAATTATATAAATAATTATTAATATTTGGTTATTTTTTCTCCTGTTTTAAAACTAACGAATTAATCACTAATATTATAATTTATAAATAATCGATCACTTATTATCAATATACGTTATTAGAAATACATAATGCTAATGTAATGTATTAAACTAGTAATCTAACATCATTTTATCACATAGGACGACACATATCGATAATTTGACTCTTTAAAACTCTCGACGGTCATTTTAAAAAAATGGTTGAAAAACAAAATTAGTTTTGGGTTCTTCTCGACTCATTTTCAACTAAATTGATCGTCACTTGTTGAAGAAAATGTTTGATCATGCTCAAATGATACAAATATAGAAAGAGAGACGACAATCGTTATCGTGGAGGTAAGTGAGAAAGAAATAAAAAATAGAAATTAGAAATTAAGCAGAAAAATTAATAAAAACGATTAAAATTACGATAATATTTGATCAGAACATGAGATACATACAAAGAATAAAAAATAAAGGGGGAATAAGATAAGTACGTTCTTTAGTCTTCTTCTTCTTCTTTTCACACAGTCTCGTATTTACATTGTTTGTGGAATCTATACAACACTTTCTAGCTTCAATTCTAATAGTATCTCTAACAATATAAAAAATCTCATCCCCCGAATAAATCTTCCATCTAAAAATGAGATAATTTCTCTCACTCCAAACATAGTAAATATGGGCACCCCAAACAATCCTAAAGACATAACCTAGCAACGACTTACCCCTCATCTAAATGTAAGCCCAAACTAGCTCATGCTCCTAATTCAATGTTGAAGGGCACTCTCCCACTTGCATTGAGAGAAGGGGCAAGCAAAAAAGAGATTACCTCTCGACTCCAAACCAAAACAGAAAACACAAAGAGAGTCAATAGTAATACCCATCCTTAATAATCTATCATTGGTATTAAGTCTACCAACAATAATTAACCAAGTAATGACAAAATGCTTAAAAGCATGCAAGAGAAACTTATGTCTAATCTTACCCCAAATCCGAGACACTTTAACTTCCTGATTGCTTAGAACCGAGGCAAATGTAAAGACAGTTTTATCCCTAATTTTAGATAGTTTTCTCAAGCTCCAATTAGCATTGATCTTACAATCACTGTTGAAAGTTTGACTGCACTTTAGGTGTAGTGTTGAAAAATTGGTAGGCAGCGAATTCGGTGCAGCAATTTTGGAAAATTTGGCAATGATAAAATTGTAACTTTAGTCACTAAACTTTAGAGTATTTATAAATTAGTATTTAAGCTTCAACTATAAATACCCTAACCCATTTAGCTTCAAAACCATCCCAAATCATTCTAGTTTTCTCCCAATACTAGAGAATTTATAGAGTTTTCTTGAGAATTGTTTTCTCCTTTTTATCAAGAGAGAATTATCATTGTTTTCTCCTTGTTAGATCGAGAGAAGTTGTAATTTCTATTTTCTCATAGTAAAATTATTCTACATTTGCCCGTGGTTTTTACCCTATATTATTTAGGGGTTTTTCACGTAAAATTTATGTCTTCTTTATCTTCATTTTTATTTTCTCAAATTATCAGTTGCGATTTTTCTCTATCTGATAGCCGTATTCCGCAACAAATGGCATCAGAGCCAGATTAGAGTGTGTAATATCTATTTATTGTCTTTGTGGTTGCCACCAAAAGGTGGATCCTCCAACATAAGAAAGTAAGAAGGTATTACCCATTCTTTGAAGGTTCCAGAGAACTATTCACGATAGTGAAATAGTGGGAGCTATCCGTAATAGAAGCTATGGAAAAAAATTTGATATTGAAAAGTTCAATGTGAGATATTTCTCATTGTGGAAATTGAAGATGAAGGTCATCCTAAGGAAAGATAGTTGTCTAACAACTATCAGTGAAAGGCTGGTAAATTTCGCATATGACAACAAATTGATCGAAATGGACGATAATGTTATGGCAAACTTTCATCTGACATTAGCAGATGAAGTATTGTCAAGCATCGATGAGAAGAATATAGCTAAGGAGATATGAAATCATCTTACCAAATTGTACGAGGCCACATTGTTGCACAATAAAATTTTCCTTAAGAGGAAATTGTACACTCTTCGGATAATAGAATCTACTTTAGTGACAGAGCACTTAAACACACTGAACATTTTTTTTCTCAGCTTACATCCTTAAGATGTACAATAGGAGAACAAGAACGTGATGAACTTCTACTTCAAAGTCTACCTGATTCGTATGATCAACTCATCATCAACTTGACAAACAGTAATGTCACTAGTCTAGTCTTCGATGACGTTGCAGCTGTTGTTCTACAAGAAGAAAATCAACGCAAGAACAAGGAAGACAGACAAGTAAATCTACAACAAGCAGAAGCATTGACAACGATGAGAGAAAGATCAACAGAACGTGGCCAAAACAATAGTCACAAACATGGTCGATCAAAGTCAAGAAGCAAAAATAATTTAAAGTGCTACAACTGTGGAAAGAATGGTCACTTGAAGAATGATTGTTGGAGTCTAAATAAAAACTCCAATCC